AAATCTAAGCTTGATCGGTATCTTGAAGCAGAAAGTGAAAATGTCATTAATCTTGACCTTTTGATGAGGTGGAAGAGTACCGGGTCAAAGTATAAAATCTTATCTTCGATGACTCGGAATGTTTTGTCCAATCAAGTGACTACCGTTGCTTCAGAGTTAACTTTTAGTATATCTGGACGTGTGCTTAACAGCTTTCGAAGTTCTTTGACTCCTAGAGTGGTGGAAGGTTTGATTTACACTCGAGATTGGTTGAGAGCCGTTTGCGTGCCGATTAATGTTGAAGAGTGCATTGAGAATGCGGAAAAGTTTAAGTTGGATAAGTCGTGTATATTTCTTTCTATCTAGTAATTCATTCACATATTTATCTATTGAGTGAATATTTTAGGGCCACGCTTTTTCTACTATCTCTATGGCTAAAACACTCTTTAACACAGTGTTTTGACAATATTGCCCTTTGTCGGTCTCACTTTTTAGCATCTTTTGTCATTTTTTATTGATTTTCTATTTCTTTTCTTTTGGGTCCCACATCCACTTTTCTTAATCTTCTTCCTTCTCTCTGTTCTCTTTCTCTTCTTTTTTGTTGAACTTTGTTCTCTCTCAAGAGGAGAAATAGAAAATCATGAAGGTCATATCCTTGTGCTAGCATATCCTAGGCAGGGCCACAACAACCTATCGCCAGGACATCGGCAAAGCACTTTTCCTTGACTACCTTCGTCTTCGTGGCTACCGATCTGACTCGCTCAACCTCAATGTAATTCACGCTCTTTGCGAGGAAATTTAGCAAATTCATCGATGGATGTTTTCGACAGATAGATAGGGAGAAGGCAAGGAAATTGATTGTCAGGCTTTGGGAGATAATGAAATGCCAAAAGGATTTGCTTGTGAGCAACGCTGCTTTTGCAAATTTCATTGATTCCTTGTGCATATAAGGGTTTTTTTTTTATAGAGTTTTAGATTACGGAGAGTATGCCTCAAGGATGCCACCCTCAGCTCCCCATCACCCTTCCCAGCTTCTCCTCCTTATTGGTGCAAACTCCTCCACATTTGCCGAGTTCATCAAATGCAAAGTGCACAACCTCCTCATGCTCTGCCAATATGTGCCACTCTCCGCGAATACCATCCCCTTATTGCCATAAGACATGTGGCGCATAACCTTCACTCAAATGATTCAAGAAGGTGCTGTCGTGGGTTATGAGGACCAGTTTAGTTGCCTCCGCCTACACAAGCGTGGAAGTCTCCATTTCTCTACCTCTCTATAGCTTTGAGTGGTTACTCGAGAAAGAATGTAAAGAAGGAAGAAGACAAGGAAAGTGAACATGAGACCCACAAAAAAGAAATAGAAAATTAATAAAAGAAAAGGGACACGACCAGAGATAATGTAACAACACTTTTTTAAAATATTGGTAGAAGAGGAATGCTAAAAAGTGAGACCCACAAAAGGTAACATAGTCAGATTATTATGTTTTTATTTTTTTTTATGTTGATGAGTGTTTTAGCCATAAAGGGAGTGGAAAAAGCGCGGCCCATACTTTATTTAATCCCTTTTTTGGTTTTTAGATTTAGACTGTCTTACTGAGGACATTATCATTAGTAAATAGACTTCATTTTGTGGAAACTCCGATTTTGTGGTGAGTAAATGACTTCATTAATCGGCATATTTGCATTTGTCTTTAGAGCATGGTTTATTGTTGATTTTTCTTTATGTATGAATTTAAGGTTTTTTGTTAGAGATTGAACTCATTGAAGGTAAAACAGCTGAATTTGGGCATGACAAGGTTATTGTTGCTTTTGGCTTCCCTCGGGACTTTCATGTGTAGACATTCATTCTATTGTCACACACTACACATCCTAATTTCATTATTAGCATGTACACAACTTGGAATACATCAAGAGCCTATACCCGCTTTTGTCCTACCTAGACAAATGCTCTTAAGTAAGTCTATCTTGTGGTTGGCAGGATTCTTGCTTTAACATTCATCAACTTTATGCTAAAATTAGACTTCCAACTTGAGGGGAACTGTTGGTCTAATAAATTATGCTCAAGTTCCACTACGGTTCATTTCTTATAAAAAGTAAGAAGGTGAGGAAATGAGATGTAATAAAAGATTTCTTGAAAAGACTTATGTCATTGATGCAAAGAGTTAATTCAAAGGGGAATAATCTGGTGTAAGTGAATACTTAGATTGAGTTGTTTTATCATATTCTAAGCAATATGGTTCTCATTCACATTTGTGCATTGAACCCTCCTAATGCATTGGACTTCACATTTACTTGCAGTTGATCCACTCTTCGATTTTTTTTATATCAATTGTTATTGTTTTTTCACCTATGTGGCAAAAAAAAAAGGTACATTGTCTCCTTGCTCTTATGCTCCCAAACGTGGCAAAAGAAATAAGGTATAGAAAATGTTTAAAGCAGAATTACTAAAATGTTGCTTCCAGGATGAATAACTAAATGAGGCCAAATTCAAGGTCTGAGTTATGTTTCCTCTCCTGTGCAAAGCAGATATCAGTTGCAATTGGGCTTGTAATCGCCGTGTCATTAACCTTCAACTATATTATATAGCTAGAACTGATGGTGTTTAGTTAATTCCTTTGTATATCATTTGTCTAGCATCCTTTCCTTTCCAGGTATCTTGTTATGAAGGATTGTCAATCTTTATTGCTCTGAGAAGCATAAAGCACTTGCAAACATGTCAAGTGGAGCATTTCTCCAATCCGATCTGAATGAGTCTATTTCATTGAAAATTTTATTTAATCTTCATATGCATTGTGATTTGAAGAAACCCTAGGAAAGCATAGTGCAAGATGGCACATAGTGCTTTTGGATTGTTGATTTTAATGGATAGTAATTTCAATTACTCATCTTAGGGATTGTTGCTTCGGGTGGATAGTAGTTTTTATTATTCATCTTTTACTTTGAATCGTTTCATTGTTACCCATATTATTTTGTTGGAAAAAATAAAACCAAAAAAAGGAAAAAAAAAACAGGTTCTCGGGTAGACCTTGGAACTAGACCAGGAAAACAGGATAAGTTCCAAAACAGAATCTAGGGAAAATAGGGTAGGTTCCAGGTTCCAAAAACTGGAAACCGATTATAACAAGGTAGATTCTACATTCCAGTTCTGAACCCTAGAAGAATTTGCCTGTAAGTCTCAATTTAGATACGCATAATCAAAAGGAGATATACATGCAATATACGTGTAATTAATGATAATCTAACTTGGGTTCGAGGTGGTGGCAAAAATTGCTTTTGCCGTTGTGTAGTACCCAAACGACTCAATTTCTAACTACTCGCACTTCAATTTTCTATCTTAATCGGCGATTGTCCAGGTCATGTCATTCTAAAAAATCCAATGACAGACCTCATTCGGTTCTGGACTTGACCATAGCGTGAGGAAAGCCCTGTGGTTACCACTCCAAGACGACGTGTCAAGATGGCATATGGCGACACCGTGATTGATCTTGGTCTTTAGCTTCAGATCCAATAAATCTGCTTCGTAGATCCGAACCTTCAGAACCAACTGACGATAATAGAGCAGATAAGGATATAGACTCTGATGACATGACACAGACTCAGTCACTCCACCGCCAGTGATCCCTATGACTTATTCGATTAACAATTAGCGGTTCAACCCTTCGACGCTTTCCGTGGACCGAACCACCGCGTTGCATCCTAGGATCAACGTGGCAAAGTCGATCATGTCCGTAATGCAGGACACACGCTACTTGGACTCACCGCAACTCTTCGCTCTCTTGCACTTGCCTAGCGCGTCCTCTATGATCTTCTCCATGGTGAAATTCTCTCCGACTTGGAAGATTTGCTTGAGCTTGTCGAGCTTCCTGGTCGAGAAGGTCAACTTCAACACAATGCCCCGGGGAAATAACGACCTTCTAGGCATTTTGACCCGAATGTCGGGCATTGGCATCACTGTCCTCGTCTTCAGCTTCGACTCCCAAGGGAATTTGCCCGGCTCCACGCACCTCTTTACTTTCTTGCCACTTGCAGCGGCGATTGTGTTGATCGTGGTGGACAATGTTGTTCTGTTTGTGTAGCTAGCACGGGTGGCGACCGCATTCTTACCATAGGCCTTGAAGGTGTTGTTGATGCCATAGGCCTTGAACCCAACGGCCTGCTTAGAGCTCCTCCACCATACCGGATGAACTTATCGATCACCAAAGGAAGGGAGCTTTTGCTCCTACGAGAGCCTCCGCGACCTGTCGGTTTGATTTACAAGGACGGCAAGCACGGATGTTTTTCTATTTTGACGTACCGGTGCCTGCACGTCTCACACCTCTAATTCCTCATGTATGTTTTTCTTCCCCAGTAAGGAAATACCTTACTGAAATTTTACATCCCGATAATCCCCAAATCCGGACAAGAACCAAGATGGAGCTTTTTAAAAACTCGCTCAAGTCCAAAAGACTTGCCATAGTTGGCAAAGCTGACCTTCGCTAAGTTCGAGCTTTTCGCGTACTAAGTGAACGAGTTGTCGACCACGTTGCTCTCATTCCCATAATCCCACGTAGACTTTTTAATGGAGTACGTGTCAAATATTAAGTCATCACAACCTGTCGGTAGTACATGTTGAAAAGGTTGCTCTCAATCCCATAACCCTACCAAAATTCAGTTTTCATCCCGTGAAGTATGGCTTGGTTAAAGCTTCAATTTCAACCTCGTTTCCCCTTACGACCAACCAATTCCAACTCGGCAATTTCACCACTCCTGACTATCAAAGTCCGATTCACGGAGTAGTGAAGCACAACCTCCAGTAGAAGCCAATGCAAATTGCTCGCGACTTCATCGCAAATTCCCGATGATAATTATAATGGACAAAGCATTTACCCACCACAACTAACCCACTGGTTTTTCGCCGAAATCATCCCACAGTAATAGCAAGCAAATTGCCTCCGATAACTACATCACTACAACCTAAAAGCGGCTTTAACAATCCAAATACGACAACAGGCGATGGACCATGAGAGGTGCATCATCTCATGTTGCGCAATAAAGTAAAATGAATTCAATAACTCCTCTGAAAACCAGACTACATTTGCATTTTGCCGTTGCTCAAGATAAAGCACACGACTTATCGAGAACTACGCAAAATTTGTAATGTACACTTCCCTTTCAGGATTACATGTGAACCTCTCTTTGTTGTATGTATACATTAGATGAGACCTCTAGCAATTTACACGTTACACTTAGAAAATCGCTGACCTAATTATTTGAAGAAGCTTTGTAGCCAAAACAAATTTATCTCCAAAAGATGAGCTTTGCCTCTGTTTTGTCAGCCACCTATTTCACCAACTTCAAGGGGTGCGCCTGCACTGCAACATCTTACCCTGTCCAAATGCTCTGTCAAAGAATACCAACAAGAATAGTGTGTCGTTCCGATGGACAAGTCAAAATTTCCAGGGAACAACCAGTGTGGCTGAACCAGATGCAACCGGATGGAAACCTTAGGGTTCCAACCAACCACATGCAACCAACGGATTACTCTGTCGTAGCAGAGTATATGCTTATTTGATCCCCGAAGAAAAATCTGGTCTCTGGGGAAAGCTGGACTGACGCATTCTGTATGGTCTCTCGTTAGCAAATCGTCTACCATCAGATGGTGCTGCTCCGAGAATGCCCAGCGAATTCGGGTCCACTAAACGGGAACCATTGGTCATTTGCTGTTGCATTGGAGGCTGAACAGGGGAATATGCATCTGCTTCGGGTCTCCTCCTGCGTTTCCAGGCCTCTAATTTAACTGGATCATGGACTTTGTTTGACAGGTCAGACATATGGTAAGACGTCGCATTTCTGTAGCCTCTTTGGTTGGGGAAAGGAGGGAAGTAGCCAGACTCACCATCTCTCCCCATTGAGCCGGAGGAAGAACCATTAACATGAGAAGGCCCAACCTCCTCGTCCTGCTCCTGTCTAAGTTTTGAGTAAATCTGATGGAGTCTCTCCCCAGATAAGTTTGAGAAGGTAGACACATAGTTCCATAGTCGCGTGGTCATCCCTACATATTTATATTCAACTAAGTAGAGGCATAATGAAGACGAAATGTTAAGTAACTGAGAGAGAGAGAGAGAGAGAGAGAGAGAGAGAGAGAGAGAGAGAGAGAGAGAGAGAGAGAGAGACTGGAATAGGTAAAAATAAATGGAAAGCATCGCATTTCCAGAAAGATGTGAAAGTATTGAACTAGAGAACATACTGTCTTGCTTGTAAGGCTCCTCCTCATATTCAAAAATGATTCCATCAATCCTTCGTCCAATGAGCTGGAGATAATTTCGAATCCTAGCAAGCACCTGAAAAAGGTTCGTAAAGAAAGAAATGTAAATCTCACCACATGATCAGAACTTGACAGGAAAAAACATATAACACACGACACCTTTTCCTTCGGAAGATTGGCACTGGTAGTCTGTAATCTATGAAGACGATTCAAGGTTTTTATCTCATCTGCCATGACATCTTCACACCATTCCATCCATTTCGCTTCCTTAAACTGCTCATACACTTCTTCATCATCTGACATTTCGCCTTCCTCTTTAGCTAAGGGTTCAGCTTTGGCCAATTTCTGAGGCCTTTCTTTGTTTGCTTGCAACTTAACTTTTGCAGAAGGAGCAGCTCTGTTCTCCCTGGTCTGAGCAGTGTTGAGAACATTATCTTTGACGTTCTTAGAAGCTTTACGTCCTCCTTTGACATTAGAATTCTTGCCTCCAGCAGCAGCAAGTTCCTGACAAGAATTGCGAAGGTTATCAGTTCATTCAAGTCCAGGCGCAGAATTGCCAAAAAAAAAAAGAGAGAGAAGGAGTTCAGGAGCGGAGATTCTAAAAAGAAAAATGTAAAATATCATTGACAGAAACAATTCCATATCAGATTAAGGTAAGAGATTAATACTTGGGAAAAAAAATTCAACTAGAGATGAATAATCATGTTTTGTTTCCTTTGACTCCACTTTCTCTTACTACTTATAATATCATCAACAGAGGTGATCGTGCACTCTAAACAATCAAAAGACTTTTAAGTGTAAAAGAGTAAAGGAATCTGCCTCAAGGACCAAGCCTTGAGTTTCACTAAAGAAGCTTGGAACTTGGTGATTTTACTAAAGAATGAGATGCATGCAGCTGGTGTCGGGACAAAAAAACAGAGAGATGCATCTAGATTGTCTGAAAATTTGCAATCTACACTGCGACAAGATATACAAGCCAAATAAAGAACAGTAAAAAGAGACGCAAACATGACAAAGGTGGTCTTCATGTTACATGGAATAAAAAATCAGAAGAGATCTACCATTTCCAGAAGAGCAGTTGCCCGGTCTCTCAAATTTGGAGCACGCGGTAGAAATGTCTCATGGTGCTGAAGTTCAACCGGAGCAATCTTCTTTGTAAGACCAAGACTCCCATCTAACCGTATCTTTTCCCAATTACCAAATCCATGATAATAGATACCAAGCAGCAATCTTGCATCGTCAACTGAGTATATGCAAAGAGCACGAAAAGCAAGTACAAAGTCTCAGCTAAAGCTGAACAATCTCATAAACATCAAAAAGTAAACAGATGACAAACAGATGGAGAAGGAAGCAATCTACTCTGATTCCATCCACAGCCTTTGGACCAATTCGAAGGTTTGAGGTAAGTCAACACCCTGAACTGCTTGATTGGATCAGCATAGTGACTGATGCGCTTTGCTAGGAGCTGAAGTGCTTGAACTCGAGTAAGAATATCATTAGCTTTCACAGAGACACCAAAAAAATCTAAAAGCGGCCCCTGTAAAGCAATCAGGAAATGCAATCAGTAGAGAAACAGGGGCTTGGGTCCTTTTTTTCTTTTTCTTTTATGGGGGGTGGGGTGTGGTGTTGGGGGAAGACTATTACAGAACCAACCTTCGGATCAACATTTCCCATTTTGACTGCCTCTCTACATCCATCAATCAAAGAGTTGAAAAGCTCAATCTGCGCTTCAGGAGGAGCTGCAGCAAATGATCCGCCAACCTCCGAAGCGATAAGAGCGATTTGATTCTCATTCCCAAATTTCATAACCTAAATAACCAGAGAAACAAAATGATCAACAACTAATGCAGGACTAAGACCAAAGAAAATGAAAGAAAACTAAACATCATCACACAGACATAAATTTAACACAACACGACAACCTGAGTGGCAATTTCATATACCTCTTTATCAACATAATGGCTGGGATAAGAACAAGTTAGAATCCAATCAAATGAGAAATTTTTGTACTCCTCACTCTCTCCTTTGCAATGAAAGTGTCACAGCTAGTTCACAAGCGATTGCCAGCCAAATATTTGTAAGATCACAAGACTAGAGTCATGAATTGAGAGATCCAGCAGAAAACAAGGAACAATCCCTCTCAATAAAATGCCCAAACATCCGGCACTTCAAATGTTCCACATAATAAAATTTCTTTCCCCAAGACATAGAAACACTAACTGGCTTCAACAAATGTTGCAAAAAACCCCCCAACAAACTCCTGATAACATATATAAAACTCAAATTCAGCTCTAGTTTGACAGCTATATAAAATCCAGTCAATTTCCACAGGAATAATTCTCCTAAAATTGTCGCAAACATAGATTAACAGCCAAGTAATTAGGAATTATGAAGTAATAATAAACACTCTTGCCTATGAACAAAATCGGTTGTATGATCAACCCATACTAAATAGGTTGGTTCTCAGTTGGCTTGGTCAACCATGCAATTTCCACACTCTTCCTAGCTATAATAATCAGCCAAACGACACAGTCAAAATGCAATTCAAATGACATGACAAGAACTCAAACTTATAAACGCAACAGATAGGACAACAAATAGATGATCACTTGCCCTTTCAAAATCAAGTTAGGCATGATATCTTTAAGTACCCCTAGAAACAAGAACCATATAAAGTAGGACCTACCGCACGAGAAAAGCGCAATGCATCTCTCTTAGACAGATTGCCGTAAGACCATCCTCTTACTTGAACAGCTGCACCTTCAATAACTGTAGCAGAGGTCACAGAGTATTCAGCTTTGCGGCGTTTAGAGACCTTCTCTTGTGGTTCAGATTCCTTTTTTCTCCTTTTATTGGTTCTCTCAGGTTGGTCCAAGTGATTAACCTCTGCATAGCTCTTGATGTTCCTCGCAGCACGAGGAAGTAAAGCTTCCTGGAGGGAGGACAGAGAATATTTCAAATCAAAAACTCTGCTATATTTGGTTAATTTTACTTAGGAAAAGACTCTTCCTGTGAGACTCCACCATAAAGCATTGTGTCTATGAAATAAAAATGCTCATACTTCAGCTTGAGCTATAGCTTCTGGTTTGATCCATCGACTCCAAAAACTACTGTCATCTTCAGCACTACAGAAATTAGCGACCTGGTTACAAGAAAAGAGAATGTCATCAGAATAGAAACTTCACTTCATGATTATACTTACATTTTCCTTGCTTTGAAAGCTAGACAGTCATGATAAGTCATGCTCATAGTGCAGGACTCAACAAAGAGAATAATACAGAGGTTGACAAACCTAATATAACAAGTCTAATTTCCCATAATAACATAACATTCATTTGCTTTTCCTCTTACCTTGAAAGCACCCAGCAATTCATGCCCCTCCTCCACAGCTTCCTTCTCTTCCACTTTTTCAGCTCTTTCAAGAATTTCATCGATATCCATGCTTAGTAGTCTTTTCTTGCTCTCTTCATCATTTTTTTCCTCCTTGAAAAGTTCCTCTGCCCCAAATCTCAAGATGGCAGACAACTCGTTCTGCAAATGGTAATAGGGACAAAATTAAAAGCAAAAATTTGCATGAGGGAAAATGAGTACCAAATATTGCATCAGCAGTGTAAATTATGACAAAAAAAACACCTAACAATAAAAATGGGCAGATATTTGTTTCTTCCTTACTTTGTCAAAATAGCTCCCCTTTTTTGTTTCTTTCTTCTCCAATCTACCCTCCGCATTCAGTTTTTGGATTACCAAATGGTCAAGAACCTTGAAAAGCAAAGATGACCACAAGGAGCATGTGTCAAAAGCAGCATCACTTAAAATGTCTAACAAATAGTTGGCCAGTTTGGACAAGCAAAAAGATACTAGAAAAAATATTCTAAATACTCCCACCATCTTTCTCTTGGCACGCTCCAAGATGTCTTCCTCGACACTTTTGCTTGTAACAAATCTATAAATGTTGACAACCTCTTGTTGCCCAATTCGATGAGCTCTACTCATTGCCTAACAATAAATGATCACAAAATTTTTATCAGATTTACAAAACAAGTGTGACATGTGCTACTCCTGATAGAGTAAAATGTCCATATAAAAGAAGGCAAAAGGGGGTAAAAGAGTGAATGCAGCACCTGTAAGTCATTTTGTGGATTCCAGTCAGAATCAAATATTATAACAGTATCTGCTGTAGCAAGATTAATGCCAAGGCCACCTGCCCGAGTTGATAGGAGAAAACAGAAATCATCACTCCCAGGAGCATTAAAATGATCCATAGCCTGCTGGCGCAACTCGGCCTTTGTGCTACCATCAAGCCGCTGATATTGGAACCCTCTAAGCGACATATAATCCGCTAGTATATCCAACATTCTAACCATCTGCAGAGATCGTCAATAAAAGAAAAGAAAACTCTCAGTATGTTATAAGTACAGATCTGAATGAGTGTTCAATTCATTCCAACAGTGGTCTCAACTAATAAGCAGTACAAGGCTTCTGCAGCAATGCAGGGAGAAAACAAGAGAGTAGTCTAGCTGGAATTTGACAAATTTGAAGGATTTAATGCAATCTATTCTCCAAATTTGCAAATCATTTCTGGACAAATTAATCTGCACAAGCATGCACATATGATTGCATATAGGCTCTTGACATTAGGTCTGGCCCACTGCCACACTGACCACTATGCCTATTCTTTTTCTTGACTCCTGAAATCCGCCCACCGTTAAATCAGGTCTACCCCTTGCTACATTTTCAATAAATACCATTTCTTTTTAAAAAAAAGGAATGTGATTTCCCAATTTGTTGCCGATCATATGCTTTCTTTTTACAGGTAAATTATGCACCTTTTCCATATCTCAATGCTTAAAAAAGTTTTTAAAATGCCTTAAAATAATTCTTTAATCCTAGTCATGCTGGAGGAGGAAAAACAGCACACAGCACCAACTTAATTTGATTCGACGTGAAGTCTCTATGCCCTCTCATATCGACATACTTATATCTTCATGAAGTTTGCCTCAAACCACTTTCAGTAGATTAGAACAAAGCTGAACACTACTCACACATTACAACCTCGACAACATAGAAAACATTACGTCACTGTAGGCCAGTTCATCTTCACTACCAGATAAAAGCAATGACATCAACAACCTAAACCATGAATTGGTTGGTGGCACCATGCAATTTCCAAAAGCATGGCACAATAGTCTCCAGCTTCCAAAAACTATCCAAACCAGCGCTAAAACATACCTGGGAGAATATCAGAACTCGATGCTTAGTCTCATGCAATCTGACAAGCAACTTGTCAAGAATAACCAGCTTCCCACTACTCAAAATGATCCTCTCCAATTTACTGTTGTCGCTAATTCTAAAATCCCCTCCATACCCATGGTCTGCACTTTCAAACAGGAAAGGGTGATTGCAGCATTTCTTCAACTCCACAACAATGTTTAAAAGAGAGACCTGCAATTTCAGATCGATTATATAGGCAAGCAAATTCCCAAGAAGAACAATAAAGAGGGTGCCCTTTTATTTTTATAGATAAATTGAAGAAATCTTAAAGCAAAAACTCCTCATTTTCTTAACACAATGCATACCATGTAATGTCAGTCACTACTAACAATACAAGAACTATCACATAAGAGTCTACAGTAGAGCAGAAATAGAAGTTCCAATTAAAAACAAGGTCAAGTTATCCAATCACCTGATTCCCACGAACTCCTTTGTTCAAGTCATGGAAATTTCTTTCTAATATCCACTTGTAGTACCTAAGAACAGAGTAATAGAAAGTGAACACAGCCAAAACAACATAAGCTGTTTTAACAAAAAAGAAGGGAAAACCACATCGTAGAAGAGGAGAACTGTACTCACTGTTTCTGCAAAGGGGACATTTCAACTCTAAGTATACGCTCAATCTTTGGAGGCAAAGACTTCTCTACATCCTTGATAACTCTCCGTAGAATGTGAGGTCGCAGTTCCATATGAAGATTGGCCAGCTAAAGACGGACAATAAGCATTATCATAATCAATGGACTATTAATAAACTAAAATTCAGGAGAAAAAGAAGTAAGGAAATGTACCTCATTTTCGTTAAACGAGCTGAGGTTCTTGTAGTTTTGGACAAAATCATCTTTATTCTTGAATTTATCAGGATCAAGAAAGTGAAGCAGAGCCCTATTCAAAAATTTTAATAGCAAATCAATAGAAGAATCAAATCAATTGATGAGCAATGATGAAGGAACTAAACAAGCGATTGAACAAGGACACAATGTAATAGCGGACTTAACTAGCCAAAGCAACTAGACAGGACGTGAAAAAAGGGTCCATTGGAAACAAAAACTACAATAGAAAATACTTTTCACATGGATAAAGAAATTAGAGCTAACTGTGTCACAGGCATACCCTTGTCAACTCACATCTAGATACACCATTACCATCAGATACATGGCCAGAACGGGTAGGTAACTTTTATTACTAGGAAACACTTGTGCAGCAATTGTTCCGTGCGATAGCTCCTAATTCTACCTTAAGATAGTCTCATTACCATCTCTTTTCATATTAGAAGGATTCCTCCCTTAAAGTCCATGCCTTCAAGACAAGTGACTAAATCCTATCCCCAGTCCTTTTGCTTGGAAGTCTTCCCCACAAATTCTTTCTCCTTTCTATATCTCATTCTGCAATTATTACATCATTACTAACCCAACCAGAATAAAAGATATTCTCCAGAAGCTTCTACTACGACATTTACCAAATAACCGGATCGATACCCCCAGAAAAAACTGCAAGACAGGACAACGAGTCATCATCTCTCATACTAATGTTGTATTATAACACTCCTGAATCCCCCAGGAACCTCTTTTTGCAGATGATCAGTTTCTATCATATGTGCACCAGTCACCTCTTTTTGCAGATGTTTACTGTTTATCATAAGTGTGCAGTACGTTTATGTGAGCTTATTGCCCTTATTCAGAATTCTTACGAAGTTACAAGTTCTCTCAGTTAAACGAAGTGGTCCATTGAGGGGAAACTCTGGTAGGGAACACATTGAACCTCATCTATTTAGCTCATATTAAATTTGCAGAGTACAAGTTGCCATGTGACTTTTTTGTTTTAATATAAAGTCGGCACAGTAAGGAGCAACTACTAGAATTTTGTAAAACAAAGCAGCAAAGGTTCCCATGATTAACTACGCCAAATTAATTTTAGTCCTCAAAAGGGTGACCGAGATTATCGATAAAGATGGTAGAACTCAGTCTACCCCTTAACTTCCTTTCAAAGTAGCTTCGAAAAAGTGAATATCGAGAAATCTTTCACAGCAAACTACAATTGCAGATATGTCGACAAAAGGTGCCTCCCCTACACAGAAAAAGTTTACATCCAAGTGAAATTGTTGACAGATGAAAATCATTAATGACTTTTGACTACATGAAGAAAATAACAAACATTTCAGGAAGAAAAATTTATACAATGTGGAGAGGAGATCCAAAAGAAGAACTACAAAGTAAAAAAATGGACAAAATCCTTGTCTATATATGCAGTCAACTGCCATAACTAGATGAAACTGCACAAAAGACTCTCCGCTGTGACAAGAAGTACTTAATCATCTTCCAATTCCTACATAGAAGACAAAGGCATAAGTGAAAGAGGCAAGTACCATAGCTCTTCCACGCTGTTCTGTAAGGGGGTACCCGTAATAAGCAACTTGTTTTTTGTGCTAAATTCCTGTGAAATAGTAAGGTTAAAACAAACAGATATACCAAACGAACTAGGTTTTTGGTCATCCTGTATAGCCAATCACAAGGAAAGAAAAAGAAGTAGACCAGTCCAGAAAGTACCAAAAGAGTGGTGTACAACTGTGCCTCACTATTCTTCAACCTATGTGCTTCATCAACCATAAGATAATTCCACTTGATCTTTGATAGAACAGCTTTATCCTTTAGGACAACTTCATATGTGGTCAATAAGGCATTGAACTTCATGGTTCGACCAACTTTCTTATCATTATAGAACTCATTCTGCTGGCAGACCTGCCAAAATAAGCAAAAGGAACTATAAAACCAAGAAATGCTAACAAATATTTTAATTGTATTGCACACACTGCCAGTTCTATGAAACTTGATCAGATCATGTAGAATATAACAAAACTGTGAAGACAACTCAGTCATGCAATTTAAAAAGATGATGAACTGAGCTTCAATGTACTCGCAGCATAAGGAAAAGACACTTCACATCTACTAGTTGCAAATTCTCTTCAATAACCACCACGTTATCCAACAGAGACTTCACAATGATGTCAGAAAGATCCCGATGCAGGTGTACAATGCAAACCTATGAAAGTACAACCCCAGTTCACTCACACTAATCCAAAATCATATCAAGCATCTCTAATATGAAAAAAGACAAGCAAATCATACAACACCACCAACACAAAGAACATAAAGTTTTGCTTAAGAGTATAGCATCCTCCCCTTACAAGAAAAGTTCATTAAAGAATGAACATGGACCAATTGTCATACAGAGATCGACACAAATACAGACAGTCTAACAGCTAAAATAAAGTCGCATCTACATACTACACTGCCCTCTACACCATTAGTAATCAACAACATATCCATCGGCTCTTCACTACACTTAGGAGACTCGCCACACTATTAAGAGACTGAATGAAACACTATTAAGAGGCTGGATGAAACTTGTAATGCTCCTTCTAAGCAAGATCAGAACATAAAGACACTATGCCTGAGCACGATCTTTCTGAAGCCAAATGCCAAAGCAGCCTGTAATATTGCCTAAGCATGAGCTAAAAAAGACAAATATTCCAACTTCTTGCATGCAATTGAAAAGTATGAAGAAAAAAATAATTTATACCTCTCGGCTAGCACGAGTACCGACGTAAACAATGACATTCAAATCAGGAAGCCATTTTCTGAATTCTTTCGCCCAATTCGACAAAGTAGATAGAGGTACGACGACAAGAAATGGCCCATAGACGTGCTGTGCATTCTGCATTCAACAAAAGAGTTTCTACATTTAACACAATGCTGATAGTGAGAAGATGAGCAAATATATGGCCGAATCAAATAAGCAGGCTACCAATTACCTGCAGAAAACCAAGCATGGAAACTGACTGAACAGTTTTACCAAGACCCATTTCATCAGCTAAAATAACATTCGTGTCATTCCTCCAACTGTCACATACAAGTTGCTAATCAACAACGATATAAATCAAGACTGCCCACACTTAAGGACACACATTCTTCTAAGACACCATGTTCACCCTTTTGTTTATCAAAACTGCTAAATTTCAGAAGAGAGAGACAAGCGCACCTGTTAACAAGGAAATTTAAACCTTCCAATTGATAGTCACGAAGCTTTCCTCCCTTCAACCACTCTGGTTGTTCGTCAAGCTTTCGTAAACTTGCTAGAAATGAGAAAATTGCAACTGAATCACATCTTGCACATATAGATAAAAAGAAGTGGAAACAATATCTCATTAGGCGATCAATGAAAAAGTATGCTATCCACTTGCCACTTGCTAGTCCGATGAGGTATGTCATCCACATATAAGGGACCACACAAAAAAATAATGCATAAAAGAATAGGAAAAGCAAAAAGTTCTGAGAGATACAATTTAATTAGAAGTCATTCGTTTGAGCTTATACTTATACGTCACAGGAATTCAAGATGGATGCTCAATAGAAACATCATTACCTATATCTTGCTCAAGCAAGACATAGTTAATTGAGTCAAGCACATGATAACTCGGAATATTGAAACATAACAAAGCTAGCCCTGGCCCCTCACTGACACTGCACATATGGAGAATGTGATATTTGATTGACTGGTAAGAACCATACTTTACAAATGTTGTTTTTCTAAAATATTTTCTATCACTACTTCTTGAATGGAAAGTTTTACACATGACTACCTTGCCTATCTTCTGCAACAGATGGACCTATGAGCACCGTAACTTAATAAGTGGCCCTCTTTCTTCTTAAACATTCACCAAATGAGTAAAGAACACAAGATCAGGTGGTGTCATTTGGATTGTCTGAATCAGTTCGCACTACTTCGCCACCTTGAAAAAAAGTAACTATCAAGGAAAAGAAACTACTTTTCACAATAATGCAGACCAAGTGATTCTATAATAAGTATGTGCTGCACTTCTAAAATTTCAAGGACTACCAACAGCTATGAAATTGCGGAACAATTAATTTGAGAACACCAAGTACCCCTCCTTACATGTAAAAAACTTTCTCACCTGAATTGGTTCCCCAGCTGAAACTCGGTAAAGATGGCCCTTCATCACAAATTACTTGTGATAAAAACTCTTCTTAGGACCTCCCAAGAAATTAAACCAATGATATATTCATATCATAACTCTACCCTCAAATTAACAAATCTCCTGACTCTAATGAACTCCTGTACAACTACAATTCCATCAAAACCTAAACTATCATAATTGCATCCCCAAATGGAATAAGGATTTCCTAAATACTATATTACACTTATAGGCCACCACATTAGGAGTGTATGCAAGCCAGAGTCCAGAAGTCAATGGTATCATCCTCACACAATAAAACGAGCAAGAAGAAAACCATTCAGCAATCCCAAAAGACAATGACTGCTTTCAACTTGCACATAGAAAAAGAAAAAAGAAAGAAAAGAGGTATATTGAGGAGAAAGGAGGTGCAAACCTTTGCTCTTTCTGCGCTGGAAGTCCACTGACTTGCCTTGATCAGCCATAGAAGCCTCCCGTGCCTGCTTACAGAAACAGGACAAAAGATCATAATCTGACACACAATCTCTTTCATTTGTCCAATCTTCATGCATCTACGCACACCAGAACTTGGAACAGGTATTCATCAGCATAAAGAGAGTCACATGCGCACACACCTCTGTGAGAGAGAGAGAGAGAGAGAGAGAGCGAGCGCATCACACAGCAAGGGACCAAGAAGGTCACTTGACTGCTGGCTGTGAGTACACAAACCAGGACAAGTTTAAGATGATTCTGTAGATATAATGCTATTGAAAAAACAAAAGCCACCAAATCACACCCATTTTGGAGTCAAGTTAAAATTATTTAGAAATGAACTGATAAGTGACTGAGGCCAATCTCCAGCTTATCATTTCCCACAAGAATAACACTCTTATGAGAGTCTTGGAGAAAGTGATATTGTTCTTGCTTAATGAAGAAGACATCAGAGGCATTAACTACTTCAATGATTTATTTAATCCCTCAACTGCACTACCCTACTGCCTTATATATTATTCAGATCTCACTGGAGTAACCTCAGGACAAGTGCTTACTGAGCAAACTGCAGAACTTCTATGCAGGATAAAATTGTAGTATTAACACTATCAATTTTCATACACACTGAAGTCTGAAACTAATTAAGGCTTTGAAAATGTGCCCGGACATCACAAATTTTTCACTGGTCTCGAGCATTATTACGTGCAATAACAAACATTTCATAATTAAGTGAGCAGTTTTTCCTTACAGGCAGAAGATCACTCTGCGATACAAAATTAAGTTCCAAGACTACAGAAAAGTAACTAAATAAATGTTCTGGGGTATATACCTAAAGGGGAGAAAAAGACGAGAGTTACCTTAAATTCTCATTTCGCACATAGCAAAGGTGAATTCAAACTGAAAGTTGGCAATTTCAAGCACAACTGAGTTTTCAGAACAAACAGTTAAAAGTGTTGAGACAACCTTAATTGTGTTTGCATCCACAAGAAGTCAACCCGTTCATATGTGTAATGCGCAGGTTGACACTTTCGACCTGTTTATAACAAGCTTAGACACGTTTATTTCAGCATGTTAACATATTATTCGTGTCAAACATGGACACAGATTAATTCAGAAATTTTTATCTACTCACTTTTTCAAATGTTCCCATTACATATGACAGATCATTTCATAGACATGTTAAACATGTTGTATCATGTAACTAGTTTCAAAACGTGTTGTGTTTGGTTTGGGTTTCAAGCCAATATAAGTAATAAGCATGTTTCTTTGGAGTTAACACTTGACACCACATAACTATAACAAGAAACCACAAATCAAGACCCTTAATTGGGTCTGTATAGTCACAAAAACAATAATCAAAAGAAACATCTCCAGAATGATCATTCACCCCTGAGAGACAATTATGGCATTTACTATATCATGAAATTATTACAACATACAAAGTAACAGCAACATTCAAGCATAATAGGCAGCATATGCATTTACAATTAAAAAAAGGGGGAAAATCCTTCAGGCAAATAGCAAAGTAAGTTCAGGCAAACCAGTGTTCTACCTTGTACTCATCAATAGCATCTTGAGCAAATCCAATATCGTTGTCCTTTTCCCTAATTCCAAAATGAGAAGTGAAAAATGAACGGACCTCAACATTTTGTTCATAAAATTAAACTGTAATTTTACAAATTAAAGACAGATAACTCACACAAAAGAGCTAATGAACTCTCTAAACAGTTGAGGAAATATGGACAGTCATAAAGGCACTAAAATGCCGATTTAGCTTTTCATACCAGGTTACTTCAGCATAAGATAGCCCTTGCCATTTGACTAGATACTCAGGGACAACATCTCCAGTGCTGTCTTTACTAAGTCTGTCGGCAATTACTCTTTCCACCTAAATAAATCACAAAAACAAAAGATATAACATTAAAAGCAGCAGAGGCAAAGAAAACTGCATGAAGGCAATACCGCAAAAGAGCAAACCTGACTATATTGCTTGATGAGATCCAAGTCCATTTCCTTGCTCACATCATTGACTTCAATCTAAAAGTTAAACAAAGATCAAGAGTAAATAAGAATATTAACAGATTGCATAAGAATTACATAAAAAAAGGAATCCCTCAATTCTCATACTTCATGGTACCAGAAAGTAGATAAGCAGCAAACAAACCAAAAAAAGAACAGTCATTCATCAGAATCATAAGATAAAGGCACCACCACCATCATCATCATCATCATCATTGTTGTTGTTGTTGTTGTTGTTGTTGTTATGATGCAAGCCATTATTGACATCAAAGATTCACCTCAAAAGTTCACCCTATTTTGCAATTATCCTCTGATATCAAATTCATCAACTGCTGCCGAAAGCCTCTTCTCAAGAACAAAATAATTGTCATTCCAAAGAGGAAAATGTCAACAACTGCCCCATGTGCACATTAAGCTAGACTTGTTATGATTTAAAATTATAAAGATGTAACATTTTAACGTTTCAGTTCTAATGATGTGAAATATTTTTGCTTTTTAATGTATGGGAAATAAAATTCCTGTGATACCTTCATATTTGACGTTTAGAAAAAAGAAATTGTATCATATAATATTCCAGGCACTCGTTAACTAAACCCCTACGCAAATCAATTTTGTATATCTGGATGAAAGATAAAATCAGCACTGTAAGAATTTTCCCTGACATATTGAAAGAATCCCTCCGAGAGTGTGACAAGCTTGTTACGCCAAAAATCCAGGAAAACCCGAGTCAAGAATGCAGCAAGAACAACTCAACTGTCTTATTCTTCTTAAATTCTATGGAGAACTCAAAAGTCCTCAACTTGCTTGCTCACTTGCAAATGTAAAGCTCGTCTAAACTATTTGCAGAGAAAATAGAAACACAGAAGTTGGTACCCGTTTACTAGTATAGGAACAATTTAATATCCACCCATCAATACCCCGCCACACAAGCACAGGAGTTAATATCTCTTTTTCTAGACCAGGATCTAGGGTAGATCAGTACACCACTCAACTAAGCAAGCATGAAGTTCTTAAACTAGAAACTGGATTAAAACTTTCAGCCTTATTTGCACTATCCATCCCTTTACACCATAAGCAAAACCCTACTTCATGGATTAGCCTTGAGATCGTGTAGAACTAATGTAGTGTCCATGCTGGTTCTCATTAATGTTTGGAATTTCCACCAACGTAGGTGTTTGCTAGTGCTTTTGCGTATTTGCTTTCATCTCATGAAGCTAGAAGACCATAAGAAGAGTCTTTGGCAAGCATCCAAAAGCTGAAGCAACTAAAAAGGTTTTCAGGGCAACCCAGGGATGCATTGGTCGCTATCTACTCAACTTGGATTTAAAAATTTTCTTTTACCTTTATATTAGAAATGTTTCTTTGAACTTCAATAATTAGCAGATATGAGAAAAAAGATTAAGAAGATTTTTCTCCGCTCAAGAAGAAATAAGTGTACTCCGATATACTATTCACATTGTTAATCAATCACAATAACACAATTAATTATCGTTCATCGAATGCCTATCCTAACGGCAGCTACAACAGATATCAACACATCAAACACCAAACTACAGCACCAAAAGCTACAGCCACCCCTCACGAAATCTAAGAATCTTGTATCAAGATTCAATTGCTAGGACAGAAGCTACAATAAGATGATGAAATAATCCATCATACCATCTCTATCTGAATTGAATAGCCTTATGGCATAACAGGCCAGTGAACCACAAAAAACTTAGATAGCAAATTAAATACAATGATATTTAGTATTCCCATCCAGCATGTTGTACACATGTGGAAGCAAATTCAGCCATTTCAACACTAATGTTTCATCATAAGAGATCAAGAGAACAACTTCTGCACAGTAACGATAATTTACCTCCTCCCGAGAGATTGACCTCCTATACCTCACATCCTCCGTCACCTTTTTAGTATAATTCAACACCTTCTTATATCCACTGAGCTGAAAATGCAAACATGTGAAATGTCAATACTTAATAAAAAAGAAAAATTCAAAAATATGTCATAGTTTCACACTTGTAAAGGATGGAATTGAGGAACATACATTTTGTAGATCAGGAAGGGACTTCCACTGACAGTGTAAGTGTGACTGTCCTTTCCACTTTATCAAAAATTCCATTTCATTCCAATCTGGCTCAGAATCAAACAGATGGTTCATGAGAATAGGCTCTGTTGATCTGTTATTCCTACTAGCCGCTTCAGCTGTGCCCTTTGGCTGATGCCAGAGAACCTTTTCAATTGAGTCACCATCTTCCTCTTCCATTTCCTCCTACATAACCAAATGAGAGCGATTATCAAAATCCTTTTAGGTGCAAATTAAAGGGGCAAGAGATGAAGCCACTAAGAAAGAAAATTCAACTTCATGGGCATCCAGTCACGCTAGTTCTTGGATTGTTAATTGAAAAGGGGTCTTGTTAACGGGTGCCCTTAACCATACTTACTAAGGAAATGGTTTGATTTCCAATGCACCGATTACACATATCACGAGAGAGGTTGTTCATTGGAAATAGGAAACTTTTTTTACCTAAATATTTATCAAGTGCCCTGAGGGCACTTAATAACAAAATCCATTTTAAAGAGTTTCTCACTAAACCAGTTAGGAAATTCTTCTCAATAAAAGGTGCAGCTATGCACAATCTCACTTTTTTACACTTCCGCGATACAAGCAAAGAAAAAAGTCCAAGTCAACTTGTAGACATTTAAATGTATTAGTACAACAAAAAAACAAATATTCCACACCTCAACAAACCCCAACATTGGGCAACACTGACATCATCATCCTCATATTCGCAAGAATCAATTTCTTATCAGCTGAATTGAGCACAACTAAGGCAATAAGACTGCATATAGTTCTGGTAGGTCTAGATAGGCAAGTGTGCTTCACCTTGTACAGCATTTTCTCAGGTCAAAAATAATACTTCATCTAGGAAAAAATCAATTGGATAAAACACTAAGGGCATGTCTAGATTGACTTTTACATTATACTATTTGCTTAATTTAAAGCTTGGGGTGCATGCACTTCAACTTTCTTTTACACGAGATACAAGAAAATTTCACGACATAAATTTTAGCACATAGATTCGCATCATATTTTTTCATAAATTTTAACATTTGAATAGAATTTTGAATTTTAGGGGAAAAGCAAAAAAAAATTCTTTTGGCTTCTAAAAAGCTTAATTAAACAGGCACTGTATTTGAATGACTGATAGGCAACTCAGTCTACCAATTGCTAGGCAGAAGAAGGAAAAGAAAAGGTCAGTCTACCCATCTGCAAAGTTCCAACAAATAAAGTAAACCTGCTCCAACCCACCCAGATAACCACCAAGCACAAGACACATGTCGATTAATACTTCAAAGAAAATAGATAAGGAAGAGCCTATTTTGAGTAACACTTACAAAATCAAATATATGGTATTAAAGTTTAAAAAGTTGTACCTTTTGTGATTTTTTCTTCTTTCCTTCATCAACTTCTTCACTATCATCGCTTTCAACATATGATACCTTCCTTACTGACCTAGTTGAGGTACGGACCTCGTTGTTTTCTCTTATGGAACTTGTATAAGGATTTGACCTGACATTATTTTTCCTTAGCTGTCCACCCCTCCTTGTAACACCCTTGAAATCTTCCGCACTCCCACTATCAGAGTCCCTGGCAGAAGACTCATCTTCCTCGAATGGACTTTTACCTTTTCTTGGTCGCCTTGGTGCAGGGAGTGACTTGCGTTCCGTGGAAGTTTTGCCACTGCGTCCACCTTTACCTCCTTTTTTACTCTTCGTTTTCTTTGAATAAAACGAGTCATCTTCGTCCACAGCATCCATATCATCATCAGATATATTTTCCTCATCAGAGTCTTCAGCATCCCAGTCCTCGTCCTACAAATGAAAAAAAAACGTATCAGGTTTAGTCACTCAAATGTCGTCAAATTACCACATAAAATTTCATAAGGATTGTCCAAAAACAGTATGATAGGAGGTATAAAATAAACCTTGAATTCAACAGCCTACTAAACAAGAAATTTACTAATAATGGGGTTAAGTGATGCAATCTAAGGAGATTAAACAACAAAAGATGATAAGCTGATATTTATTAAACCTGACTGAGATATCTAGAAGGTCTCCAAAAGAATGTTTGAGCAATATATCGAGATTTTTTCCTAAACAGAACATATTGCCAATGCATGTTACAGATTATCCTATCATTAGAAATACATCTTTTGCTTACATAAATCGCATTGCTGCCATTAGTGTCATACACTGCAATTAATCACCTAGGAAAACCTCTGTCAATTGTACTTATATTGGAATAATCCTCCAATTTCTTCCCACTACTGACAGAAAGAGATCTTTGCCTAGAACCTCTGGGGAATCTAGTCTTCCAAAGACCAAGTTCATCTTCGTCTTATGCTAAATATGCACAGATAATAGCTAAGCCGAGAATTTGAACCTGTTCCTTGATAGCAAGAAAACACCTCAAGATACCACTTGATTTTCCATTTCTCACATAACTCAAATTAACTTACAGGCTGCAACCGAGCAATGTCTTTATTCATTGATAAAATATATGCATAGATTTTGTTAAGCAACTCAGATTGCTTATCAATTCCTAAAAATTTCTGCTTCTTTTTCCTCAAGACACTTCCACGCAATAAGAAGACTTGGATAAGTGAGTTAGGACAAAGACATGCTATCCAACAAGGGCTAAGAAGAGAATCATTCAATAGCACATGCAACAAAGTAACACGTATAAATTAGAGACTGGAAATATATTGGACAAAACTCGTCTCAGCCTCCAGTAATATCCCTCATACTTAGGTCATCCAACTTTGGTAAGTTCACAATAATATCCCTCAAACAATTACCACAGTCCGCACTGAAGCTGCTCATCACCACCATCAAAATTTCACGAGCTATATCCTCAACACCTGAAACATTACCCTATCTCGTGAAACTCTGAACATTGCTAGAGGTCAATCATCTACCAGCAAATTAACTGGTCCCTCCTGTGTGTAATTGAAATATTAGCCTGACCTCCCAATTGAAAGCAAACACAGGCCGCAACAACTCAAAATGAGATCAGGAAATGCATCTGGAGAACTATAAAAAGTAGAATTCTCTCCAAAACTGAGTTGTGCGTTCAAATGTTGCCCCCATTCTTCAAATAAAACCTCAGGGTAAACCAACCCAATTTTTGTCTTTTTTTATGCCACACAACAATCGCCCTCACTGATATCTTAATCCAATTCTTAGCCACCAAGTAATTTTCCATATTCTTTATTGCCACAGTTAGCATATTGTCAACTACATGAAATGTTATATTTCCTCCCAGCATCAACGAGCTCCTTGTTTTTACGCTGCCCAAACCATGATATTCTCAAAGTAGACTATTGGTAACACTGATGAGCAAGCTGGAAGCAAAGAGAACGAAATGCCTTAACCAACAATTCAGTGTCATTAACTGTATTTCATGGCCTTCGCCCATGGAATCAGATATGGAATTACGTACTAGGATATGTGGTTTTTGTCTGTGTAAGGTGGAAATCATAAGCCACCCAACATTAAAATTCAAAAGAATGCAATGCCAACAAATTCACCTTGCTTACTAATTGACGACCAGCAACCCCTGAATCAGGCTCAAAATCAGCATCATCAGGGTCATCTCCTGCGGTGGCAGAGAAACAGCAATCAACAGCAATTCCAAGAAGTAGGTCGTAAAAATGATCAGAAAATAGCAAAAGAAGCCTTGCATAATGTAATATACGTCTAAAACAAGTACTAGTTAAACAATTGATGAGCTGAATTAATTTTACTAATTACCATCTTCATCGTCCTCTTCCTCGTAGTCAGCATCGTCATTCTTTTCATCGTCATCTTCTTCATCGTCATCATTTAGGGCCCTTCGATTCCGAGAGACGTTTCTATTAGCTGCAAAGGGCATTGGTTTTGTTGAGGGTATCGAATTCATCCTTGTGGAATGATTGAACCCTCCAAAAACAACTGACTCACTCTGCTCTTCCCCATCCTGCTCGTAATACTCATCAGACAACATCTCATCTGCGGGAACATCAGAGGGGCCTCTTTGACCCTTGGTTACTTCTTTCTGTCCATCGTCATCTGACTCTCTTGCGTCAGCTGAATTACCTGCTGACCTTCCAGAATTTTTACAGTCTGACCCACTTTTCGAATCTTGTCCAGAATCAGACCCTTCTGGAGGACCCATGGGTTGGCAGTCCTTCCAAAATGTGGAACCCCACTTGCCAGCATTAGCTGTTCTCCTTACAGAAGGCTGCAGGTTGTTTGCTCTAATTCCATTCTCTGCTACTGCTTCTTTCTGTACTCTGCTGGAACCAGATGGTTCGCCGTCACTGGGGTACTGTGCATCCAGATTCATATCGAATATTCTCTCGCTGAAAGGTCTACCAACATCCTCATTCCTTATGGAACTCTGTGCCCGGCTATTTTCCTCCACGATGCCGTGTGATACTGTTTCATTTGGAAAATTCTTAAAGAAGGCCATCTATCACATGGAACTCCTGTAAATGGCCCCTAAAAGTCCAGATTGCTGTGAAGGTGAAGTAAGAAGTGACTGATGAGAATGGTCTAGTATAACTCGAAAACAAACTGTTTTCTTTTAAAGATAATAATAACAGCACAAAAACGACAAGCAGGCAAAAACACGGAAATTCTATGCAGTTCAAACGGCCTCCATCAGAACGAAACATGTCTTTATTTAAAAAGATTAGGAATAGCAGCAGCACAAAGAAGCAGATAGAAAGCTGGCAATCCAATTCAGTTCAACAGGTTGAATAAAAAGGGGGATTAACATCAGAATTATCAATCTACACTCATGAATTTCATAATTCGGTCTTTCCGATAAATAAAAAAAACGAAACACAAAACGCCCCCATAAGGACAAGTAATGACCGATAACCTTGCTTGAGAGGGACTGGCGCTGGACGGACTCCGAAAATTCTTAGTACAAACAGAAAAGCTCAGGCAAAAAGTAGCTTATCTGATCCTCAGTGAAGGACTTCCCATCAGAAAAGGTTACCCGACATTTCAAAAAAAGTCAAAAGTCCAACGACATTTGAAGCGCATTCAAAACAAGCTCGTCGGCGAGCAGCGCAGACTCCAACCTCCGTACTGAAAGCAAGCATTGGCAGAATTCAATCACATTCGATCCGAAACGAAACCAAACTACGCAAAGGCAGCAAGACGAGCAATCAAACCGCATCAAGAAGAGCAGACAACGGATCAAGGTCCCAGCTTCACTAAATCTCCAAAAATCAATGCTAAAAGCTCAAAAATACCGAATCGGGAACCTTAGAACACTAATCCCATCCAAAATTCGCGAGCAGAGGGCTGACTTCGAGCTTATTTACAGTGAAATTAGTAAATCGACCCGAGCAGGGGCGCCGATGATTGGAAAAACCGGGCGGCGCTCCCCCCCGCCCCCCCCTCTCGGGGGCGCGACTACATAGAAACTACAGCGAGGATTGATTCGCTTAGGGACAATCCGATGAGTGCGCGCGCATGTTAACGATCGTGCGCACCTACAGAGTTCCGGGGCCGGCCGGAGACGGGCCGCCGGCGACGGCGGCGGCAGGAGGGGATTCCGATTGCGCGAGTCGCTTCGGTCCCGGTTTCGGGAATCGGAATAGGAATCGGCGGCGGCGGCGGCGGCGGCGGGTGGGGGTCGGATTCGCCGCTCGTCGAAGGTCGTCGTCCGATTCGCGAGGAAAGAGGCGGAGGTGATTTTGGTTTAATCGCCGACGATGTACAGCGAGAGAGAGAGAGAGAGAGAGAGAGAGAGAGAGAGATAAGAGAGAGAAAGAGAGGCGTTTAACAGAAGGGCAAAAGTTAGGAGATTTGGGGTTATTTTGGAGGGCTTATATTGCGTTCGAGAGAAAACGTGTTTATGGAGACTCTCCCTGTCTCTCTCTAGATCATGTGTGCGATTTAATTTTCATTTTTCTCCCTTTATGGGATTTTTTCTTGTTCTTTTTTTTTTCTCATTTTCATCTCGCAAAACTGCCGTGCTAGGGCTAGTGGGGGCCACACCACGTGGCGGCACCGGGGGTCGAGGGGGAGGTGGATCGGGCGGCCCTCGTCGGCCCAGTCACCGCAACAGGTTAGGGCGTGCAGGGGACGGAGCACGCGTCGTGATCTGATTTCAGGCACCGGGGCTGCGGAATAACCGATGTGCTCCTCCTGGGCGATGGGATGTGTCCAAGAGGTGATCAGTTCCCGGTCCGTTTTCACCTTGGGAACGGGAGGACCGGTTCCCAATTTTGAGAACCAGGGACCGAACCAATTGGTCTTAGGACCGGATCACTTTTTTTATTTTTTTCCCACCACAACAAGAGAGAGTGACAAACCTCAACATATTAACGGAAGTGACAATGAGTAAAGAGTCATTGTGATGCAACGATAAGGGAATAGCACTATATGTGGGGTTTAGTTCGCATTTTATTAATTTTTTTGAAAAAAAAAAAAAAGTATATGTAATCAGTCCGGTCCCCCCTTAGAATCAGGAACCGGACCGTCCGGACACTGGTTTTACTTTTAGGAATCAGGAACAGGACCGACACTCTCCAGAACCGAACTAAACCCGCTAGTCTAATCCGGTCTGAGCGATCAGTTTTGCACACCCCTATTGCGTGCCGTCTCTGGCTAGGAGAGGCATGCGATTCAGAGAGAGCGTGTGCAAATCATATAAATTCTTTGTTGGTTCTTGCAATGGGTTTTTTCGTAATTGAGGATACAGGTCAATCCGACCACGGGTCCATGAATACGAAATGGCCCACTTCACTTGCCCAAACATACCGTCTCCATAGATCAAGGCTGCGAATGGTAACCATTCTGTTTCAGAAATCAATTTCTGGCCAGAAATTGATTTTTCTATTTCTGTTCCTGGAGGAGTTTCTTAGTAAAAAAACACGTTTGATAACGACACAAAATTTCTATTCCAAAAACAGAAATTTATTTGATAACGGCACAAAATTTCTTCTTCTCGGGTGGTCGGCGGGCGATGGATGGTGGCGGGAGGAGGGCGGGTGGCGGCGGGAGACGGTGGCCGGCGGTGGGAGGCGGGTGGCGGCAGGAGGACGGTGGCCGACGGTGGGAGATAGTGGCCGATGGATGGCAAGCGGCGGCCAACGGTGGCCGGCGGTGGGAGGTGGGTGGCGGCCAAAAGAGGGCGACCGGCGGCGGGAGACGGTGGACGGCGGCCCACGGCGGCCGGCGAGAGATCGTGGCTGGTGGACGGCGGGCGGCGGCCCACTGCGGCCGGCGGTGGGAGGAGGGCGATCGGTGGTGGGAGATGGTGGCCGGTGGACGGCGGCTGGCGGTGGGAGGTGGGCGGCGGTGGCAAGAGGAGATAGGCCGGGGGTGGGAGGCGGGTGGCGGTGGGAGGCGGTGGCCAGCCTACGGAGACCGGCGGCCCATGGCGGCCGGCGATGGGAGGTGGGCGGTGGCCAAAGGCGGGCGGCGGTGGCAGGAGGAGGGAGGTCGGGGGTGGGAGGCGGGTGGCGGTGGGAGATGGTGGTTGGTGGTAGGTGGCAGCCATAGGCCGCCGGTAGCGGGAGGAGGGTAGGCGGCGGCAGGAGACGGTGGCCGGCAGTGGCGGCCGGTGGCGGGTAGCGGCGGTCGGCGGGTGGCGGCAGCCAGCGATGGGCGGTGGGTGAGCGACCGGCTAGTAGTGAGGGAAAGTGATAAGAAGAACAAAAAATTTTTGTTTCTCATTTCTGTTCCAGAAATAGAGAAGAAAAAAATTTTAATTTCTGATTTCTGTTCCAAACCTATTTCTGGAACCAAATTTTGTTCCAGAAATAGAAATTGGAATTTCGTTATCAAACAGATTTCTGTTCCAAACCTATTTCTGGAACAGAAATAGAGAAACATAATGGTTACCATTCGCAGCCCAAAAGAGCAGAGTTGGGAAAGGCCTTAATATAGAACGCGGTCGACCCAAGCCCTACCTAATCATACCAGGTTTACTGGTAACGATCCGCGCCTTGCCTCGGGAATATTGAACCCGCATTTATATCTATTCCTAATATTCTTCTCATCTCGAATATGCCATATTTGTCAACGTATAAATTCTTAATATTGAGATAGATGCATATGCCAAAAATGCAAAAGGATAGTTTTTTAGAGTACTACATTCTGAAAACGAGTAAGCGAATTTAACATTAACAATTTACATAACCAGTAATGCATATTTTGTCTAGGGAGGATCTTGAACCCATTAACTTGGTAACGGGAGTCAATTTGTCCTAAATAAGAAGACAAAGATTATCGATTTACTAAATAACAAGAATAATAGAAAAAAGGGAAATAAAGAAAAACCTTTGAATAGAAATATCAGAAGCGAAGAGCATCTATACCCTCGAAACCTTCTTCACAAACAATTTTTGAATATTTCGTGAACTCGAAATTTCGTTTGAATGAACCAGAAATGAAATTGAAAAATTCAAATAAAAAGAACATAATGAATGGAAAAGATAGTGAAAAGGAAATGGGTGGGCACTCACGCTCCCAAAAAGTAAGAAAAGGGCCAACCAAAAAAGATAAACAAAAGAAATTTGTCCTTTTGATGCTTCGAGGGATTTGAACTCCTGCCCGTGCGCCCTTTTGTCAAACCATTTGTAGGGCTTGGACCATGCTCACCAAAACATGCGATTCTTGCAAATTAGAAAAAAAATATAAATACTCAAGTGTTAGGTTTTCAGAGACCTATCATTAGTGGACACCTGGACTTGCCCCGGTCATCATGAAAACAAAAATTATTTCGCTTACAGCATATCTAAACATCTATTCCGATCAAAATATGAAATGAAATTCATAATACTACGAGAATGATAATGAATAACTGATAACACGTCTGTGTAAATGTGAATGACAAACCCTTTTTCAAGGATTGCCTTTGAGAGTGATGTAGAGGAATTTCTGCTTGTCTCATTCAATATCATGAGCTATGTTGGAAGAAAAAAAGACATTACCTTTAGGAGCCGTTTGATTCATCTTTGGGAAAATGTTTTTGGGGAAATACAAATGCCTTAAGACTAAGGTTGCGCATGGCAACCATTCTGTGCTCGGGAACAAATTCTGATCAGAAATGATTCTTTTTTATTCTGTTCCCGAGAACAATTTCTAAGCATTTGAAGGCGTTTGGTAACTGCCCAAAATTTCTATTCTTAAAATAGAAAAAAAAATAGAAACACATTTGGTAACTACACAAAATTTCTTTTTATTAATAATATTTTGACTTTTTTAATATTTCTTTCTTTTTTTTTCTTTTTTTTCCTTGACCATGGCTAGTCGCCGGCGCCGGCCAGGGCTGGCGAGGGCGTCGCGGCCCTCGCCGATCACGACAGCGAGGTCGGCTTCGCCAGATCACGGCGAGGTCGAGCCTCACCCGGCCAAGGCGAGGCCGACCTCGTTGTCACCACCCCCCGCGACGGCGAGGTTGGCCTTGCCATGGCCGGGCGAGGCTCGACCTCGCCCAGATCTGACGAGGCCGACCTCGCCGTCACCAGGGGCGGCGAGGGCCACCCTCGTCGGCCCTGGCCGGTGGCCGGTCGCCGGCGGTGGGTCGGGAAGAAGATGAAGAATAAATAAAAAAGAAAAAAGAAAACCAAGAAGAATCAGTTCCGGAAAAATTATTCCAGAATCAAGAAGCTACTTTTTTTTCTTCTTGATTCGTTTCCAAAATTGATTCTGAGACCAATTTTTTGCAAAATTGTGCCCGGGCACAAAAATTTTAACAAACGGATTTCTGTTCCTAAACTGATTCTGAGAACAAAATAACATAAATTTTCACTATTTGGCACTTTGCCAAACGGGCCCTAAAGAGATTTTCCTAAATGCAAATAGTATTTGGTAAATTGTAATTTTAAAGTGCATTAAAAAACAACTTTAGCTTAAACGCCGTTTGGTAAAAACTACATTTTGTAAAGGACTTTTGCTAATTTTTTTTTAAAAAATCTCACAATATTTCCGGTAAAGCTCAGCCGCCGGTGGGCCAAACCATCCGCCGGCCAACCACCGGTGGCCAGATCCATGATGCTTGAGTCGTACAACCCCGTCCTTAGGCAAGGCAGCTTGAGGTCGCGCGACCTCAAGCGTTGCCTGAGTCGCGCAAATCAAGCGACGCCTAAGGTTGCCCTAAAGAAAATAGAGAATTGAGTCGATGAAGCGTTACCTTTCATTAATATGTTTTATACTATAAATAGAGATATTATCACCTATAATTATGGTAGAAGTTAAAGATAAAAGATACAATTTGATTTACAAGGAAATTGAATAAAAGACAAATCTGAAAAGATTTCTAAATGATCAACTCGTGGATATTCTCCTTGATATGTTATCTTCGTGCTGATTTGTGGAAGATTCTGCACTGCAAACATTCTGAATTTTTGCTTTTTGATTTGTTGCTTCAATACTCCCCTTCAAATCGGTCAATGGGAAGGACCAGAGACCGAGTTTGATTCTTAACTAACAAACACATCTCAAGTCAATGGCTTGGTAAGAATATCGGCAATTTGTGAGGAAGACGGAACATAATGAGTTACGATAGAACCAAGAGCAACCTTTTCTCGAACAAAATGATAATCAATCTCAATATGCTTTGTTCGAGCATGAAAAATTGGATTAGTTGTGAGATGTAATGCTGACATATTGTCCGAGAAAAGTAACGAAGGTTGATGTTGGTAGATTCCAATGTCACACAGTATGTATGAAATCCAAGTGAATTCAGCAGCTGCGGAAGCAAGAGCCCGATATTCAGTTTCAGCTGCGGTTCACAGTAAGTTGTTTCCTGGCACACTGTGAAATACAATTTAAGCCGAGAAAAGTAC